GGCAGACATCTGTAATCCCTCTACTTGGAAAGCTGAGACAGGAGAATCCCTTGAGCTCAGGAGTTCAAATGCAGCCTGGGCAACATAGCAAGACCCTCATTTCTTTAAAAAAAAAAAAAAAAAAAAAGTTTTAGTGACACAGGAAAATATGCCTATGACAGTGAAAAAAGGATACCAAATGAAAAACTCAGGGAGAGGTTAACTATGTTTAAATGAAACACACAGGGAAAGAAATGTAAAGAAAATTCACCAAAGTGGGCCCCACCTTTGGGCACTGGAATTTGTAGGTGATTTTTTCTTTACTTTGCTGCTGCTTTGTGATTTGGTTACTTTATTAAATTTGTTTAATCAGATGCACTACAATCAGAAGAAGAAAAAATTAGCAAGATTTTACAGAAGCCATAAGGCTTCCAGGAACTGTTGTCATTTAGTGCTTGGGGGAACAGACCCTAGTGTGATTGGAGGTAGGGACTGCCCTCCCCATTGGCCCTTCCAGTGTGAGAGACCAAGTCATGGTTACTGTCAGAGCCAGGTTTCTAGCCGTTTTAGGAAAAGTGTAGCTGAAGGCATAGGGTATTGTTGTGGTAACGACAGATCTCACTTCTGAGTGCCACCCACGTGCCAGGCTCTGCATGGGTGGTGTGTGCTGAGGCAGGAAGGAGCCACTTAGGGCATGTGGAGCCATCTCTCACCATGGCCATCTCCCTCTGGGCAGGATTACACCAGCGGAGCCATGCTCACCGGTGAGCTCAAGAAGACGCTCATAGAGGTTCTCCAGCCTTTGATCGCAGAGCACCAGGCCCGGCGCAAGGAGGTCACAGACGAGATCGTGAAAGAGTTCATGACTCCCCGGAAGCTGTCCTTCGACTTTCAGTAGCACTCGTTTTACATATGCTTATGCAGAGAAGTGATTTCTCAATAATCCCAGCCCAGTCAAAGCACCGCCACCCCTAGGCTTCTGTCTCATGGTAATTACTGGGCCTGGTCTCTGTAAGCCTGTATGTTATCAATACTGTTTCTTCCTGTGAGTTCCATTATTTCTGTCTTGTATGGGCAAAGCATTGTGGGTAATTGGTGCAGGCTAACATTGCAGGGTCAGATAGAGAAGTCCAGCTGTGAGTCTCTCCCCAGAGCAGCCCCAAGGAGGGGAGCCTTCGGCTAGAAGTCCATGGGTCACCCTGTTCCAGTCTGTAGGGGACTCCGAGGCTTCCAAGTATACTCTTAAAACCCACTCTATTTAAAAATATACATTCTGTGTATGCATATATGGAATTGAAATGTCATTATTGTAACCTAGAAAGTGCTTTGAAATGTTGACGTAGGGAGGTTTATTGAGCACAAGATGTATTTCAGCCCATGCCCCAACAAAAGAAATTGATAAGAAAAAGGTTTGCTATACATTTGACTAAGAAATCACCCAGCTTTAAAGCTGCTTTTAACAACGAAGAGTGAAGAGTCGGGCAGTTTTGATTAAACTGAGACTCGGGGTGAAACTTGCCAGTTTACTGAGCCCCAGACCATGCATGTATTCCACTCCAGCAATCATGCTCGTTTTCTTTGGCAGACCAGTGCTTTCCTGCCAGATGACCCTAGACTGGCTGTCCTGCAGAGTCAGGGTGGCTTTTCCCCTGACCGTGTCCGATGCCAAGGACTCCTAGCCTCTGCAGATGCTTCATTTTGACCTTTGGCTGCAGCGGAAGTCAGCACAGAGCAGTGCCCTGGCTGTGTCCCTGGACGGGTGGACATAGCTAGGGAGAAAGTCACAGCAGCACCCCTCGAGGCCCTCGTGGGTGGCTGGGCAGGCCACATTTCATTGCGCACCGTGTGCAGGCCTGGAAAAGCAAAGCCGAATCTCAGGGAAGCCCTTGGTTGATGTGTCTGGGTCTCCTCTGGAACACTCTGCCCTCCTGTCGCCTGCTAGAGTGAATAAACTTCCTTGGCTCCCACTCTTGCTGTGCTCTGTCTGGGAGGTCTGGGGAGGGAGCAGAGGCCCCTCCCCTCACCCCTCCATGGATGGCTTTGAGTCTGCTGGAGTCAAGATATGGGGATGAAAACGCTCAGTTCCGGGAACCCCACAGTGCTGTGTCACAGGCTCCCAGGAATGGACTTGTGCTGGGAGAGCTCTTAGCAGCATCCCAGTGCAGGCTCCCTCTCAACCGCGTTTCACCTTTCTGGCAGCTGGCGGAGAACACAAGCAGAGGTTGTCCTTGCTTTTCAGAGGAGAGGCCGGTGTGGGCTGCGTGGTGGTGCTGTGGAATGACAAGGAGCATAGGCTGGGAGCCAGACTGGGCCCTGTTCACGTGAGGCCCATGGCAGAGGCTGAGCTGCAGGGGGCCCTGGGCTCATTCTACTGCCCGTCCTCATTTTGCAAGTGGGGAAACTGAGACTTAGGAAAAGGGAACATGACTTGTGCAAGCCCATAGAGTGACTCTGACACAGTGCCTCTGTCCTGACTCTTGGTGCTTCTGTCTCCACATACATACAGAGGGACTGATTTACAAATGAGGGAACTAAGGTTCCCACCCTGGGAGGCTAGAGGCCTGGGCTGGAGTCCCACTCACGTACCCGTGTGCAGCATGACCTCACCTAGGCCTCCTCTCCCGGCTTCGACTCCTGCTGGGCTGGGCCCCCATCCTCCCTCCCAGGCCCAGCCCCTGCTCACCTACCTGGCTGGCTATGACCAGTGAGGGTGAGCCACCCACAGAGGCCACGTAGCTCAGTAGCCTGTTGCCCTGGGCAACTAATATGACTTCTTGTAGCTCTGCTGCACCTTTGATGCAGGTGCAATGAGGGGTGACAAGTGAAGTCAATGACAGCTGCTACTGTCATTGTCCACCTAGCCAGAGCATCTATGGGCAGGGCCCGGGTGGGGCCCTGGACCCAGAGAGGAGTGAGCCAACAAAGATGGGCTTCTCCCCTCACCAGCTGTGTGTGACTCTAGCCAGGTGACTTAACCTCCCAGGACCTCCATCTCCTCCCCTGTGAAAAGCAGTGATGCCTCCTGTTTAGGGTCTTAGGAGGGGTGCCCTGAGTCCAATACCCAGTGCCCAAGGCCGCTGCTGGTCAGGGCACAGGAGAGCCACACGTCTCCCACACCTCCCCCATTTTGCTAAAAACTAGTGGTTTGTAAGAGAAATGTTCCCTGAAGGACATGGGCACGTCAGGATCACAATGGGCAGGTTGCAGTGGCCCCGTGGGTGTTTGGGGCTGAGGTGTGAGGCCGGGTGCCAGCACCAGGTGGTGCCATATGCTCTGCCAGAGGAGCACTCCTGCTCCAGCTGGTAATGTCCCCTTGTCAGACAGATAGGCCGGCCCAGCTCAGCCTCGCTGCCCTGTGGCCCCAAGCCTCGGGGGAGACGAGCGAGGCTGCCTGAAAGGAGATGGTGCCTGAAGAGAGAGCACACAAAACGGCACTGGCTGGGGAAGCAGGGTCCAGGGCAGAGGGTGGCTGGGCACACGTGGCAGCTTCAGAACAGCTTGCCGCTCCAGGACAGCGCTCTCGGTGAGCAACAGGCCTGCCTCTGGTCCCCAGCGCCCACCTGCAGCACCCACAGATGTGCCCTCCCCAGGGTCACACTGGCTGGGCCTTAAGGCCCAGGACTCTCTGGTCATTACCATAGAGGTTGTAGAGACAATGAGGACAGGGGCCCTTCCTGCAAACCGCCTCCCCAGTGACAGGCAGAGCCAGCTGCTCAGTGACACAGGCTCAGGGAGAGCCAAAGGCCCCCACCTCCCAGAGTACAGCCACTGCCAGAGCCGGGCCAGGAGTGCTGCCAGGAACCCTCCTGCCAAGGCCGACCAGGTGGGGTCTTCTCGACAAAAATGGTCCCGAGGTCAGTGGAAACCTGTTAGTGGCTGCCCTTTCCCAGCTTTTGGCCAGAGCATCTCAGCCTCTGTAACTCCTAAGCTGGACTCACTTCCAGGAATCTACTGCAGGACTTCATTCATTCACTCACTCACTCATTTGTCCCACACCCCCTGAGCACCCACTGTGCACCAACCCTGGAGCTGAATTGAGTCCTTGCACAGCTCGCAAGTTCTTGTGGCAGGGGAGAGGCAGGCGAATGACCACACACCCAACCAGGGCCCCCAGGGAGTAGAGCAGGAGGTGCCTGGGAGCAGCGCAGTGGTCAGACAGGGAGAGCTTCCTGGAGGAGGTGGTCCCTGGAGTGTGAAGCCAGCCAGGCAGAGCAGGGGAGGGTGTTCTTGGCAGAGGGCACAGGGCATAAGGTCAGGTACCCACAGCATCACATGTACAGGGACTGGCATAATGGGAGCAGACCCAGGACAGGGGTCTACCCCTTATTCCGGGAGCAGACAAGTTTCATTCGGCAGACCACAGGACATCGTTCAGCCCACAGACACAGTCAAGGTCAGTGACCATGAGTGAATATAGTCAATGCAGGTGGCCTCTGGCCCTGCCAGTCCTAACCCCTGATAGCCCCCATCATTGGAAACCACGTGGTGCCAGGAGTGGGGTGCTGGAGCCTCAGAAGCTCAAGTCCGCCCACCCCTCACTGATGCGTGAGTGCAGGCAAGGCCCGCTCCCTCTCAGAGCTGTCTGCTCAGCTGGCATCTGTAAGTGAGCTATGCAAGGTGCCTACGGACAGCCCCTCTGGAGGGGCGGCTCACAGGCAGGGCAGGTGGGAGGGCCTGGCTGGAACCAGGTTCCACTCTGAAAGCGGGTAGGATTGGACTGGGGTGGTAAGGAGGGCAGCGCCCTGCTGGACAGCCCGGTTAGGCAGGACTTGGCGCCACAGGCCAGGCCCCACCGCCCAGAAGGCCAAGAGGGTGGAGCCCGCCAGAGTGCCACATGGGGTCTCAGTGTGCCCATCGGCACAGTGGGAGCACTGGCAGCTCGGGTGTGGAGGGCTTGTCCAACAGGAAGGGAGTGGGCAGGGCCATGGCCCCACACCTCCCAGGACAGGCAGGCAGGCCTCACAGAGTGCAAAGCTGCTGGGCGCAGGGAGCGGTCAGCCACGGCCATGGAGCCACAGCCCTGAACATCCTCAGAAACATTTTATTGACAACAGTTCCCAACAGTCTTCGGGGTCTTTAAGTGGCAGGTGCAGCATCCACAGGCAGAGTGAGGGCTCCTGAGGAACCTCACCCCAAATTCCCTAACCAGGCTAGGATGGCCACCCCAGGCACCTGCCAGGTGGGCATGGCAGCCCCAGCAGTGCCCTCCTGGAGTAGCCTGCTGCAGGGAACGAGCTGGGCCTGGAGCCCTCAGTCGTGGTGCCAGCCCAGCTCCTGCTCCCCATCCTGAGGCCCCCAGCCTGTGGGGAGCCCCTGCCTACAAGGGATGGTTCATGAAGACACAGGAACAGCAGTGTGGGCGAGGGTCTGGGAACAGGGCAGAGGGTGGCTGAGCGCACACCTGACTCCCTGGAGGGGTGCTCCAAAGATATGGGAGACGGGGGCAATGGGGAAGCTGGAATGAACAACTGACTCCATGAGACACATGCCCTCATCAAAGGGGCCCACTCCTCCCCGGCTCCTGCCACCGCAGGCCAACCCTGGGCTGATGGCTGGGGGGCCCCTCGACCTGAGGTCAGTAGCTGGGCAGGCCAAGCTCAGGCCTCGGCCAACGCACTACAGGGAGGCTCCCCGTTGTCCTGGGCAATGGCCTTGTGGGGTCCTGACCCCAGCCACGCGCCCTCTGGCCTCCTCCAGCCACTATGACCTCTGGCAGCTGCCAGAAGGTGGGCCTCTGGGCGTGGGGACCAGCTATGTGAGCAGACCTCGGGTGAGCCTCAGCACCGCTTCATAGGCGACAAAGACCACCATGTTGACGGGAAAGGCGCGGCCACAGTTGATCAGCAGCCCCTTGAAGAGGACCCGGGGCCCCTCCTCGCGCACGCTGGTCACCACGCAGTGCAGGAGGCCCCGGTAGCGCCGCTGGCCCTGCCCGTCGGCCTGCAGTCTCGACTTGATCACATCCATGGGGGTGGCCACAGCCCAGGCCAGGACCCCTGCACAGCCCCCGGCCACCAGCACACCCAAGACATCTGCAGAGGGACCACAGTGCCTTGACTGGGAGCCCGATGGGGCGCCCAGGGCAGAGGCCCAGCCGCAGTGCACCCTGGACTCCCTCTACTGGCCCATCCTCATTTGCAAGTGGCTTAGGAGAGGGGAATGGGACTTGTCCCCAGCCACACACTGTGACACAGCAAGTCTGTCCTGACTCTTGGTGTTGGGGGGAACTGAGGAGCCCACCCTGGGAGGCAGCAGGCTGGGTTCAGGCCCCAACTCGGGTACTGGTGGACACCACGATCTCACCTTGGCCTCCTCATCCCGCCGGGCTCCCCGCCCTGCCAGGTCCCAGCCCCTGCTCACCTGGGTGGCTGTGGCCAGCGGGGCTGAGGCACTCGCAGAGGACGGCGTAGGAGAGGAAGTAGGTGGCAAAGGAGTGGCCGTCCCGCAAGAGCAGGGCCGAGCTGCCCTTGTAGAGGCCGCGCAGCCCCTCCTCACGGGCCACGGTGGCCAGGCAGTGCAGCGGCCCGCGGTACTTGGGCTCTGGGCAGGCAGGGGGCACACCTGAGGGCCCCGAGGCCGAGAGCCGCCGCTGCTGCGTCTGTGTCTGCGTCTGCAGGCGGACTTTGGCCACCTCAGTGGGCGATGTCAGGAACACCTGGAGTGGAGGAGGAGGCAGGGGTCAGACGGCACCTATGGCTCTGCCCGCAGCCTGGACCTGGCCTCCCACCAGCCCCATGTTGCCCACAGTGACCTCAGGAGCTGGGGCCCCAAGACCCTGCAGGCTGGCCCAGGGCTGGGGAGCCACAAGGTCCGAAGCCAGCTCTGCCCACCCAAGGCCAAAGCCCATGCTTCATTCAGAGCATGGTCAGCAACCACCTCTCTCCTCACAGGCCAGCCTGCCCGGCTTCTCCCAGGAGGTGGTAAGAAAATGTCCATGACCCAGTTTCAAGAACGTAGTTAATGGCCGGACACAGTGGCTCACGCCTATAATCCCAGCACTTTAGGAGGCCAAGGCAGCAAATCACCAGGTCAGGAGTTCGAGATCAGCCTGACCAACATGGTGAAACCCTCTCTCTACTAAAAATTACCCAGGCGTGGTGGTAGGCACCTGTAGTCCCAGCTATTTGGGAGGCTGAGGCAGGAGAATTGCTTAAACCTGGGAGGCGGAGGTTGCAGTGAGCTAAGAAGGCGCCACTGCACTCCAGCCTGGTGACAGAGTGAGACTCCGTCTCTCAAAAAAAAAAAAAAAAAAAGAACATATTTAATAACATCAGCAATAAAATAAAATATTGGCTGGGCACAGCAGCTCACTCCTGTAATCCCAGCACTTTGGGAGGTAGAAGCATGGAAGCAGGCAAATTACGAGCTCAGGAGTTCGAGACCAGCCTGGCCAATATGGTGAAACCACATCACCCCTAAAAATACAAAAATTAGCCAGGTATGGTGGCATGCACCTATAGTCCCAGCTACTCCAGAGGCTGAGGCAGGTGAATCACTTAAACCTGGGAGATGGAGGTTTCCATAAGCTGAGATCACACCACTGCCACTGCACTCCAGCCTGGGTGACGTAGCAAGACTCTGTCTCAATAAAAACAATAATGGTCACTAAACACACTGGCTGCCACTGTGGGAACTCATTCATGTCGGACTCCTCATACGTGTGTTGGGGGATTTATCCTCACGATCTCACTGAATTCTCATCATGCCTCTTACAGATGAAGAGACAGAAGCTCCGAGAGTCTCCCTTGCTTGCCCAAGGTTGCTTGGCTCACAAGAGTCAGAGCTGAGAGCTGGGCCTGGTGGTCTGGAGCCCTGGGCCAGGCCTTCAGCCACTGGACTGTTCCAGCTGGCTCTGTGCCATCACCACGTGTGGAAGTCTGTCTCCCCTGCTCGAATGAGGGCTCCCTGAGGGCAGGCGGGCACTGCAGATGCTCCATGCACAGTTGGGGATGGAGGAATGCCTGAGTCCGGCAACAGTCAATTGTGTTCAGGCATCTCCGTGCCTGGAGCCATGAGCTCGGGACCTGCCTGTTCAGCTCCCCATGGTGGCTTCTAGGTGGCCTTCTGATCATGACAGGGAGAGTCCCTTCGGTCACAGCCCCCTTCCCCAGGGGGCCGTGCTGGGCAGGACAGCAGCGACCCCTCATCTGTGTGCAGCCTGGGCGGGATGCCAGCTCCTCTCCCACAGCCCCAGGCTCCATGTGTGGCCTCCAGTGTCTGCCCTCATCGAGCCTCTGTTTCTCCACCTGCCAGGGTGGATAACCTCTCAGACCCCCAGAGTCTCCCTTGGGCCTTCCCACCCCGGCTGCCCCTACTCACGCGGACAAGGCCAGAGGCACATCCTGAGAGCGTGATGTCGGCCTTGGCGGGCTTGGCGTCGGGGCTGCCGTACCGGAGCCGGCAGATGTGTGCCAGGCAGTGGCAGTAGGTGCCAAAAGACACAGAGGAGACCAGGGACACTGTGCAGACGGGCAGCGAGAGGCCCCGGTAGAAGCCCCACACCTAGCAGACAGGGTCAGGGTCAGGCCAGGGCCCTGCCAGGAGGAGGAACAGCCTGAGGGAGCCCACACTCTGCACTGCTCCACCATTCGCTTTAGGACATTGGGAAAGTCATTCATGGCCTCAGGGCCTCAGTTTCCTCTGTTGTAAGATGGAGGTCACGAGGGGGGACCTGAAGAACCAGAGGACCAGGCCCAACCCAGGGCAGCTGCTTGGTGACAACTAACTTTTGTTTTTTTGGAGAGAGTGTTGCTCTTTCACCCAGGCTGGAGTGCAGTGGTGCAATCTCAGCTCACCGCAACCTCTGCTTCCCAAGTTCAAGCAATTCTCCTGCCTCAGCCTCCCAAGCAGCTGTGGTTACAGGTGCCTGGCCCACGCCAACTAATTTTTATATTTTCAGTAGAGACAGGGTTTCACCATGTTGGCAAGTCTGGTCTCGAACTGCTGACCACAGGTGATCCTCCCACCTCGGCCTCCCAAAGTGCTGGGATTACAGGCGTGAGCCACTGCGCCTGGCCTGACAATGAACTGTTAACAGCATGTTCTGCCACTGCTGCTTTCAAGAGCTAGCACCTGGCCTGCACCAAGCCCCAAGTCCATTTTAGAGAATGTCCCCAAGTCCTGCCTCTGGACCCTGAAGCCTCCACCCAACACTGCCTTCAAGGGGTGCCTGGCCTGGAGGAGACAGAAATGCAGTGATGGGTCCCTCCTCTGACCTTCAAAGGCCTGAAGGCTACCTCTAGACCCTCTGCCGGAGGTGGGAACCTCCTTCTGAGGCCCGTCTAGCTGCTAGATACCCCGGCTCCAGTCCTCGGAGGAACCCGTGAGGTTGGCAGAACTATTCCCGTGAGGAAGGCGAGAGATCTGAGACCCGGAGGGGAGCTCGGCGTCAACTGCTGGGCAGTGGAGGCAGGCCCGGCATCCATCCCCTCCCTGCCTCCCTGCCATCCCCTGGCCCCAGACCTACGCGCTCTCTGTGATACGTATCCCGGATACAGTGCCAGATGCCTGTGTACTTTGGCTCCGTCTGGATCCTGACCTGCAGGAGAAGTGGGCTTCAGGCAGGGGCAGCTCCAGGCCTAGGGCAAGGTCAGCAGGTCCTGGGGAAGGGGAAGAACCACCCTCTTGATTGTCCCAGCCATGCTGGACTGTGGGCACAGCAGGGACAGGGAGCCTTGTATTGGACAAGAAACGTGAGGCTCAGAGGGGAGAAAGTGTGACTGACATAGTCCCAGGGGCTATGGGGGGCCATTGAAGGCGTTTGAGCAGGAGAGGGCTGGGTCTGTTTAGTATTCTAGAAAGTCGTCTGGCCATGGACGGGTGCAGGGGCCTTGGGATGGCCGCGGGGCTGGCTCCTGCCGCACCTTCACCGTGTCCAGGGGGTAGCCCACAGCAACACCGCAGACGCCTGGAAGGAAAGCAGAGGCCCACGGTGAGGAGAGTGGGGCTGGTGAGCAGTTCGAGCCCATTGCAGGGAAGAAGAAGCAGGGTGCACGCTGACGGGGCTCCCCTGAGAGCCGACCCACGTCCGGCCCTTCTGGTCTGCACCAGGTCTCATCAATCCTGAGGGGGCCCCTGTTTTACAGATGAGGAAACTGAGCCTCCAAGTGACTGCTGCCCTTTGCCAGCAAATTCCCCTTCCCTGAGTCCAGGCCCAGAATTGCCTCATCCTCGCTGCCTTGGGCCAGAGACACGCCCTGGCCTCCCCATGGGCGTCTTGTTCTGGGAGACCGTGGGAGCCGACCCTGGCTGGGCCATGTCTCTGAGCCAGGCAGACCTTGCCCGAGAGCCGTCAGTCCGTGGAGGGTTTGCCTGTGAGCCAGGTGGTCACTGTTTTGGCTGCGTGGGTGGAAGGACAGGGAGGCGCAGCCTGGGCAAAGGCCTGGAGCAGGGAAGCCCAAGCCCACCCGGGGCTTGCGAAGAGGCAGGACTGCCTGGAACCACAGGTGTTTGTGGAACAGAGAGGGCCGGGACTCCACACCTTTCAGAGAGGCCTCAGGTGGCAGGCCTCAACGTCCAAGCCCCAGCACTGCCACAGGGAAGTCAGAGGGAGAAACAGGCATGTCCCGGGGGGACCATTCTCTCCCCTGAGGGGCGGTGGCAAAGGTCAAAGGAAGACAATAGGCACATGGGGACTGTGACCAAGTGGCTTGGACAGAATGATCCTTTTTTTTTTGAGCTGGAGTACAGTGTCGTGATCTCGGCTCACTGCAACCTCCGCCTCCCCGATTCAAGCAATTCTCCTGCCTCAGCCTCAGCCTCAGCCTCCCGAGTAGCTGGGACTATAGGCGCACACCACCACACCAGGCTAATTTTTGTATTTTTAGTAGAGACAGGGTTTCACTGTGTTAGCCAGGATGGTCTCGATCTCTTCACCTCATGATCCGCCCGCCTTGGCCTCCCAAAGTGCTGGAATTACAGGTGTGAGCCGAGAATAGCCCTTCTCCACCCTCCCATACACCTCACCAGACTCATTCTCATCCGTCAAAGCCCTGCCACAACACGGCCTCCTCTGTGGAGCCTGCTGGCCTCTGTACTCTGGCCTGCCTCTGTGCCTGGAACATGGCGAGCAGAGCCCTTGTCACATGGCCTGGCTGCTGTGGTGTGCCATCACCACCTCCAGAACAGGAGTTCTCTAAGGACATGGCCCAGGGCTGACACCCCGTGACCGAGGGCCACGTATAGAGCAGGAGCCCTTCACACAGGCCTTCCCATGTCTCCAGAGGAAAGATGCCAGACTCAGGAGCCCTTTCCAGTTGTGTGACCTCAGGCAAGTTCAGGCGCTTCCCTGAGGAAAGCAGTGGCTGGCCCCGGGCTGTCGCCTAGCAGGGGCTCAGGCAGGACTAACGAGGCCGGCGCAGTGGCTCACGCCTGTAATCCCAGCACTTTAGGAGGCTGAGGCGGGCAGATCACTTGAGGTCAGGAGTTCAAGATCAGACTGACCAACATAGTGAAGCCCTGCCTCTACTAAAAACACAAAAATTAGCCAGACGTGGTGGCACATACCTATAGTCTCAGCTACTCGGGAGGCTGAGGCAGGAGAATCACTTTAACCCAGGAGGAGGAGGTTATAGTGAGCTGAGATCACACCACTACACTCCAGCCGGGGCAACAGAGTGAGACTCCATCTCGGGAAAAAAAAAGAAAGCAGGGCCCTGCCTTCTCCCAGGCCCAGAGCTGGGCTGCTCTCCCAGCCCCCATGCTGTTCCCAGGAGTACTGACACCACCCATTCCTGTTTCACAAGACCAGCAAGGCCAGGGCTGCCCCCTCAAAACAGCCCCCACAGCCCTTGGGTGGAGCTGAGCCTGGGTCCCAGGGCCGGGCTGTCTCCCTGGATCAGTCTTCCACCAGGCCCCCTTCCCAGGGAGGGAGAACAGTTTCCCCAGCAGAGTTTGGCCTGAGAAGCAGGTTCTGGAGGCCCAGCCAGGCACACGCAGCCCGCAAGGCAGGCAGAGCTGGCTCGCCAGGCCTCTTGCCGTCCTCTGCCCGCCCCCTCCAGTCCCTGCTGCAGGCCACAGACCCCACCCTCCCTACCCATCTCCCTGCCCTCTCTATCCTCTCCTGGGGTCTTTCTTCCCTCCCAGTGACTCAGGCATCCCTCCCCACGCCAAGGACTCCCAGCCTCCCTGACTCTGCCTCCTGAGCAGCCCCCATGCCTGGACCACAGCCCCCATCCCCAGCCTGCCCTCAGCCTCCTGTCTGAGCCTCCCAGGCCCTGCAGCACCCCTCACCCAGCCTCAGTCTCCCAGGAACCTGCTCTCTGCTCATGGTACCTATGGTCCACACCGGGTCCTGGCAGATCCTGGGGGCAGGGGAGCTCCTCAGAGCACCCCTGCCCCCGCTGCCCAGCACCTTCCTCGGCCTCAGCTCCTCCTGCTACCCCGGGAACAGCAGCGCCTGCATGGCCCGCCATCCTGTTACCTCCAATGGCTCCAGCGACAAAATCCATGAACAAAGTGTGGTGGGGAGGCCCTGGGTCTGCCTGCCTGAGAGGGCTCTGGTGCCACCGGGGTGGCCTCAATAGCTCCCAGCTGGCCCCTCTCAGACCTTAAATGCCTGCGGCGGGGGAGGGGACCGGAAGCAGATCCTACTGAGGCCATGTGTCACACAGCTGGACTCCCTCTGCCTCTGCCCCAGGACCCTTGTCCCAGTGCCCTTGGGACCCAAGTGTTGGGCAAGTATAGGAGAGAGCATGGGAGGTGGCAGGCCCCAGGGAGCAGGGTAACTGCCCTGCTACATCCAAACACCTCCCAGGGAGGTCCAGAGATGGGGCTTTGACAGCTCCCACCCTCCAGGTCCAAGCTCAGGCCTTCACTGTGTCCCCTGGACTTCCCTGACTCCCCTGGATTTGCTCAGGACCCCTGCCTGGGAAACCTGCAAAGCTCCTTCACTTACTCACTCAACAAACACTTCCTTCCCTGAGGCTACACCCAGGCAAATGAGAGCCAGTGCCTGTCCTCAAGGTGCTCCAGGTGGCAGGGAGGGAGGGGGTGTGGGGGATGGGCCTGAACCCAGGAACAGCACCCACCATCTGTTCTCACCCTTCCCACTGCCCCAGCCCCCTGTTGGCTGCTCCGTAGAAATGTGTCTCCCCAGACCCAGAGGCCAAGGCCAGGGCTGCCTCCACCAGCCCCCACGCCCACAGAAACCAGGGACAGAGGCTGCGGATTCAGCCTCCGAACTGGCTGCCTGGGCCCTCCTGAACCGGAGGCCTCTCCACTAAGAGGCTACTTCCGTCCGCTGGGCTCTGTAAAACGGGGACCTCCTCACCCATACACCCCACCTTACAGATCACCAAGCTCTCCTGACTCTCAAGCTCTAGGCTCCTCCTCACCACCCCAGAAGGGAGACAGTGCATCATTAGTGCTCCCATTTCACAGATGGGGCCGATGAAGCCCAGAAATGGGGCTCATCCAAGGCTACAAGGGCAGCAAGGCTAGATGTGATCCCCACACGCTCTCACACAGCCCACCCCCTGGGATATCCAGGGCCGGCCTGGGGCATGCCCCATGTGACCTGTGCTGTGGCCCTGTGAGATCCCCACAGGGGACACCAAGGCTCAGGGAGGCTGTGCAGGTGCCTTGGCCACACAGCTGCTGAGCAACAGAATCCAAGTGAGTGCCCTGAGGACTAGAACGGCAGCAGGATAGGGGAGGGGCAGGTGTTGACACATGAGGCCCTGGCAGCCCGTCTGGGTGACCCTCAGGGCAGGTGGCAGGGCCAGGAGACTGCGCGTCTACCTGTTTTCCTGCTCTCAGATGGCCGGACCTGCAGACTGGCCTTGAGCAGGCTGAGAGCTGACGAAGAGACAGCCCCCCCGCCAGCCCAGTTGTTTGTAGGTAAATGGGAGACACAGTGTAAGCAGTGCCAGCTGCCACGGCAGAGGGCAAAGAGCAGGAAGTGGCCCATCCAAGGCCAGTCCTGATGATAGTCCTGGTCTTCAAGAGGACGGAGCTTAGCGTCTGGTTAGGAGTTGGCTATCTGTCTTTTACACCCAGCTCTGCCACTCACGGCTGAGACCATGGGCCAGTCCCTTGACCACTCTGTGCGTCACTTCTGCAACCACAAAATCAAGAGGGTAACTGCCTCATATCTGTGACCGCTCAGGGCAAGGTCTGGGCATGTCCCTGTGGGAATGGCCAACTAAATGCTAAGGCCGCATTAGCAGAAGCATGGAGTCTAGAAGGAAGGAGGTGAGCAGCCTGTTCTGGGCAGGGCAAATACAGCTGGGACTTGGGTTCAATTGCTGATGCTGCACTGGAAAAGCCAGTACTTTGGGTGCTGAGGGAGCTTGAAGCATGGTGTCTAATGGAAAGAACAGGGACATTCAGACCCATGTTTCCGGGAGAGCATCCGACACAGCAAGTGCCAGCCACCCACAGCACCTGAGCCAGGGGCCCAGGAGTCGCCCTGGACACCTCTCTCCACTCCGCATCCAGAGTCCTCAGTCCTGGGTGTCAGCCTCTTAAATTCACATTCAGATCTCTTCACCACTGTTCGTCTGCAGGGCCCCAGCCGTGTCATCACCCCAAGGACAGCAGCCCACCCCGCCCATGCCCCCCATTCACCCCCTCCCTGCCGAGTTTTAGGCACCGGGACACATCAGTAAACACAACAGAAAAGCCCCTCGCCTGGTGGACCTTATGTTCAGGGAGGAGGACAGACAGCCAACAGACAAACAGCCAAAATACAGAGGACACCCAATGGCGGCCAGTGCTAAGGAGAGAAACAATGGGAGCAGCGGGAGGCTTGCAGGGGGTGTCAGGGAGGCCCCAGAAGGTGACATCTGCGACAAGCATGTTCTCTCAGTCATCGCAGCCAGTTTTACCTGCCCTTTGTCTCCTGAACAAACATGCCCTGACTTGACCCTCTTCCCCCAGGCAGAAATAGAAAACATGCCACCCCACCATTTCGGCTGCTTTATGCAGGTCTAAACATTTCCCTGCCTCAGCTGTGGGCTTCGGGCAGGCAGGGTGGTGCTGGGTTTGTCTCCACACCCACTGCACCCAGCACAGGCGGGCACCCTGGGGAGGCCAGGTAAATAAGTATGTGAGAAAATGAGTCAGAGAACAGATGGAAGGATAGACAGATGGACAGAGGGATAGACGGATGGAGGGAGGAGGGCTGGACAGATGGATGATGAGTGGAGGGATGGAGGGACAGAGCGATGGAGGCACGGACAGAAAGACAGATGGAAGGATGGACGGGCTGGCAGGGGCCCCACGAGAAAGGGGTGAGACGGCACTGAAGAACCTGGGACAGGCCACCAGTCAGTCCACACTCAGCACCCACACTGTGCTAGGCCCGAAAGAGGATGTCCCCCACCTGCCCCCATCACCCCACCCATCCTTTCCACCCAGCGCCCTCTCCTCCCTGAAGGTGTGCACCTAGAGGCACTGCCATCCCAGGTGTCCTCAGCTGCAGACAGCCAATGGTATTAAATGACTTTATTTACTCTTCTATTTTGTATTTTATTTCTTTTTTTTAGATAAGAGTCTTGCTCTGTCGCCCAGCCTGGAGTACAGTGACACAATCTTGGCTCACTGCAACCTCTGTCTCCTGGGTTTGAGGAATTCTCCTGCCTCAGCCTCCTGAGTAGCCGGGATTACAGGCACATGCCACCAGGCCCAGCTAAATTTTTTTGTATTTTTAGTAGAGATGGGGTTTTACCATGTTGGCCAGGCTGGTCTCGAACTCCTGACCTCAAGTGATCCACCCACCTCGGCTTCCCAAAGTGCTGGGATTACAGGCATGAGCCACTGCACCCACAGCATTAGATGACTTTAAACAATCATTATTCTTGTTAGGTGCAATAATGGTACCAAAGTTCTGTAAGAAAATGGCTATATTTCTTAGAGATACAAACAGAAGTACATGGTGGTGAAATGGCACGATGTCTGAAATTTACTTTAACACCGTCTGGCAAAAAAGAAAGGAAGAAAGGAGAAAGATCATGAGTATGTGGCCTTTGTTGTAGTCCATGATAAAAAGTAGCAGCCGGGCGTGGTGGCGCAGGCCTGTAGTCCCAGATACTCAGGAGTCTGAGCGGGGAGGCTGACTTGAGCCAGGGAGTTCCAGTGCTCTGCGCTGATTGTCCGATACACGACATTCAGCATCCACACAGCAACCTCCAGGAGTGGGAGACCCCAGGTTGTTTAATAAGGGTGAGCTGGCCCAGGCTGGAAATGGAGGAGGTCAAAACTCCTGTGCCGATCGGTAGTGAGATGGTGCCCGTGAACAGCCACGGCACTCCAGCCTGGGCAACATCGTGAGTGAGCCCCGCATCACAAAAAAATTTTAAAAGTAGTAAAAGGGCCAGGCATGGTGGCTCATGCCTGTAATCCCAGCACTTTGGGAGGCTGAGGTAGGCAGATCACCTGAGGTCAGAAGTTTGAGGCCAGCCTGGCCAACTTGGTGAAACCCCGTCTCTACTAAATATACAAAAATTAGCCGGGCATGGTGGCAGGTGCCTGTAATCCCAGGTACTCAGGAGGCTGAGGCAGGAGAATCGCTTGAACCCAGGAGGCAGAGGTTGCAGTGAGCTGAGATCATGCCATTGCACTCCAGCCTGGGTGAAGGAGTAAGACTCTGTCTCAAAAATAAAAATAAAAAAACTAGTAAAAGGACAGTAAACAGGAATGGAGCTGCTTGCACCCTGCCCAGCCTCCTTCGTGGCCACATGGAGGCTAAACTGTAGCCTTGGGCAGCAGGTGCTGGGGGGATCCTGCCTGGTCCAGGAGAGGAGCCCTCAGCCTAGTGTGGGACCCTAGGCGGGTGGCCTGATCTCTCTGGGTCTTGATTTCGGGAGGCGGAGCCCGGAGGAGTCCTTTGGAGCCAGCCGGCTACTCCTCGGACAGGCAGGGTGACTGCTGGGAGATCCAGGCTGCCTGCCTCCTCCACCAGCGCACGAGTCCACGGGATGTGAGACCCAGGCTGCCCTTCCGGGAAGGCTGCGTTGTCCCCTAGGGGGCGGCAGACGTTTCCCCAGCAACCAAGCCCGGTGGGCGCCGCAGAGGGTTTCGGGAGGGAGCCTGCAGGCCTGCTGGCTGGGCCACGCATTCTAAAATGCCTTTTTATTTTTATAACGAAAAGAATAACTACAAGTTATAATTATTTTTAATCCACACAGAAGCGATGGAGTCAGCACAGAAAGTGAAAGCCCCAGCACACAGCCTGAGGATCTGCCTGTGGCGAGCTTGGCCAGCACTAACCTTTCCTTTTCTTTCCTTGTTTTCCTCCCCCTTTTTTTTTTTTTTTTTTTTTTTTTTTTGGGACAGAGTCCAGCTCTGTTGCCAGGCTGGAGTGCAGTGGCACGATCTCAGCTCACTGCAACCTCCACCTCCCAGGTTCAAACAGTTCTCCTACCTAAGCCTCCCAAATAGCTGGGATTACAGGCACTGGCCTTCATGCCTGGCCCATTTTTTTTTTTTTTTTTGAAAAGGAGTCTTGCTCTTGTCGCCCAGGGTGTAGTGCGTGTCGAGATCTCAGCTCACTGTAACCTCTGCCTTCCAGGTTCAAGGGATTTCTCTGCCTCAGCCT